AGTATGCTGCTCTCCTCCAATCAGGAGCAGGTCCTACAGTTTATTGGTTGAACTGGAGGCAGCTGCGTAGAAGCTGTTTCCTCCTCTCCCAGCGCCATATTGTGGGAGAGCAGATGCATAGAATAAGTCTTAATTCCAGTAACTTAGTCTAGTCCGAGTTGCTCCCCACAGGTAGCAACTTTACCCACTTGCCACAACACTGGCCCCAGTTCAGTTACCTTTTGTAAGGAAAGAGGAGACAGAACACAAACTCAAAGCCAGACCAGGTTTATTCAGAGAATAAGACTAGGAGGGGCCCACTCCCAGGTTAACGCACCATGGCAGAGAGTTAGCAACAAACACACAGGGGAGAGAGGGAACCTTCTATTACAAACTAGTGACTTATATAGCACTGTGTAAATTGGGAAGGGCATAGGAGTCTGGGCTAAACCTGGGCTGCCAAGAGAGCTGGAAGACCTTGGGGTGGAGTGGCTTGGGAGGGATTGGAAAGCTTAGGCTGATGGCTGCATTCTTCAGATAGTGGTGTGTCCTACAGTTGAATCAGGGCAGGGCTGGTCAGGGCAGGGTGGGGCTGAGCTAGAAGGGCTGGGCTGGGCTGAGCCAGCTGAAGGAGATTGCTGGGAAATTCTGGGGCCGGCTTGCTATCGTGCAGGTGAGAGACCAAAATGGATGGAAGGCTTTGGCCCTTGCTCTGTCACGTTTTAATTTCCAAAGCTTGTTCTTTAACTCAAGCTCCATTTTTCTTTTCTCACTTTAGCTAAGGCAAGGACACATTTCAAACTGCCCTTTTTTTTTTTTTTTTTTTTTTGGACAGGCAAAGTGGACAGTGAGAGAGAGACAGAGAGAAAGGTCTTCCTTTTGCCGTTGGTTCACCCTCCAATGGCTGCCGTGGCCAGCACGCTGCAGCCGGCGCACCACGCTGATCCGATGGCAGGAGCCAGGTACTTATCCTGGTCTCCCATGGGATGCAGGGCCCAAGGACATGGGCCATCCTCCACTGCACTCCCTGGCCGCAGCAGAGAGCTGGCCTGGAAGAGGGGTAACCGGGACAGAATCCGGCGCCCCGACCGGGACTAGAACCCGGTGTGCCGGCACCGCAAGGTGCCTCAACTGCCGGCCTCAAACTGCTTTTCTAATGGGATAGCTCCCGTTACAGGTAAAACTGTTGAGACAATATGTAACTGAGGGCTTCAGTATCAACCAAAGGTGTTCTGTTCTCTTCTTGAATGTTTCTTGTTAACTACCCCTGGGTGCATATTACAGTATTGTTGTGGTTAATTTCTGCATTTTATCCAAGAAGCACAATCTTAAGGGCCACACTTTCCACACCTGAAGGCAGGGTTTATAATTGTTCGGGGAGTGAACATACATGAATCACATAGGTTAATTAGGGATCCTGGGTTAACAGGGTCTCTTGTCTCTTCTTTTATGCCCTTATGGCCCCTGTTCACTCCCTCTAATTCAGTTTGATGTAGGACAGCTTAGATAATTTTAAGTTCATGAACCAGAAGCCACATCTCCTTTGCCATGTTCACCTACCTGTCAATCAGCAGACCCCCCCTCCCCAGGAAGTACTTTCTCTTCCCCTGGGACGTGGGGGTGGGACCACATAAACACATCCGTTTTTCTAAGTGCATAAAAGGCTAGGAAGAGTAGACTTGTTCTCTCTCCTCTACATGGACTCAGGAGGAGCAGAGCAGGGTATGTAAATTACCTTTCTTTGATCCTATTCTCCCTTAATAAAGCCCTAATGGGTCTGTGTATTTTTCTCACTTTGTAAATAAAGTTTATCACAGTGCATGCCATGTTTGGGCCTGTATTTAGAATTTTCTAAATAAAAGACAGGAACCTGGAAAAATTAATTTAGGCCCTAAACCTAACCCATAACAAGCTTAGTCTTTGTTTTCAAAAAGGTGGTCTGAGGGGAGTTGGTTAAATCTGCTGCTTGATCAGTTCATTCGCCCTAGTTGTGGAGGGCATGGGGGAGATATTCTGCATGGAAGGTGCAGGAGTGAGAGCCCTCAGGTAGGGGGTGATATGTAGTCTCAGTTTACTTTCAAAGCCTCAGCAGTTTGTGAGAGCAGTGTCAGTGAGTTTTGCTTTAGGGTAGTAGAAACCTTCTGGAGTAGTTCTGGAAGACAGAGTTCATTTGTACTTCCACTCTCCTGTGCCTCCTGAAGTCTAAGGAGTTCCCTTTCCAAGTTCTGGAATTCCTTTTTCAGGTGCTGGAGTTCTCTCTAGGTGCCTAAGTGTTTTGTTCCTTTTCTATTGTTATTAAACCACAATGTCTTATTCCAGTAAATATAGCTGCTTCTGTTTCTGGTCATTCTCTTCTTTTGCTCAGGTTTTTTAATTGAATCACGCACTAAAGAACAAAATACACCTGCTTTGCATTTAATTAATCTCATTTAACTTTATTGTGGGTCTTTAGATAGTTTGGTGCTCTGCAGTGTATTTTTTCTTGCCTTTTTTATATGCTGCTTAATATGTTATTGAAAGTCATACTTCTAGAGTAGGACAGTGAAACTGGGATAAATAGTTTTTATTCCTGGAAATGTGCAGGCCTTTTTTTTATGTTAGCACTTTAGTGTGGTACCTTGGGTGAATCTAATCAGGAGTAGGCCTGGGTATGAAATCTGTTAGGTAGTTTCTTAAATGCACTATAGGCTTGAACTTCCTCTAGAGCAACTTTGTCAGTAGATTGGAGACTGTGCTGGAAGATTTTATTCATTGTCTTCTCTATCCTCAGTTTTACATCTTTTCCTTGTGCTTTGCCTCTTGTAAGGTCTGTGTTCTGTTATTTTTTATTCGGTGCTATTAGCTTTTGATTAAGCCTCTCTCTGAAAGCAGTGGGGTCTTCTCAGTGATCTTGCCCTGATCCCAGCTGTAAGTCCTAGCCTTAATACTAAATAGGTTTCCTGCCCATCTGAAGCTGGGGTAGAAGATTTTCTGTTTCTTCTTTCTAGGTACAGTGAGTTTTCATCAGATCTCTAACATTGAAGGACTTGTAGCCCTTTTCCCAGCATTTTAAGGCTGTTGTTTTGAATGAAAGATGAGGAGATTCCGGTAGGGTTTCCTGCCTTTTCTTATAGTAACTGCTGCCATGCAAGCCCACCTCTTGGCATGAACCATATGGTGTCTGTGTAGAGGAATGCTTCCAGGGGCTCCACATGTTTTTACGATCCCAACCTTGTTCTTTAGACATTCATTAAAAATATTAGATGAATTTTTTTTAAAAGATTTCATTTATTTGAGAGAGTTACAGATGGAGGGAAAGACAGAAAAAGGTCTTCTATCCTCTAGTTCACTCCACACATGGCCTCAACGACTGGAACTGGGTGTATCGAAAGCGAGTCAGGAGCTTCTTCTGGATCTCCCACATGGGTGCAGGGGTTCCAGCACTTGGAGCATCTTCTGCTTTCCCAGGCCATAGCAGAGAACTGGATTGTAAGAGGAGCAGCTGGGACATGAATTGGGGCTCATATGGGATTTCGGCACCGCAGGTGTAGGCTTAGCCCACTACACTACCACTCCAGGCCCAGATGAATTTTTCTTGCCCATGTTTGACTCATTTGCTATTTACCTCAGGTAAGGGAAGCACTTGCCTCCCTTATCTCCTTGGAGGTTTCCTTAGTTGGATGCCCTCAACTCTGATGGGTTAAGACAAGTTGAAACTTGTAAGTTACCCAGCTTTCTAAATCCTTCTTTCTAGCTTTTGACCTCCTATGTGGAACTCTAAAAGTACATTAAAAAGTTCATGGAAAAATAAAAGTAAATGTGTTTTACTATAAAATGTTTTTAAATTTCTGCAGTTTTTTCACAATACCCATTTCCACAGACTTTTTTAAATACATGTATTTATTTTAACTTTTGAATGTGCATATGTTACTCATAGCTGTATTTTATTTACTTATAATTCTTATAAAAAATGTAAGTTAAATTGATTTCTATCTGATAAGTACAACTTATATTATTTGGTTATCTCAAATTGGGAATATTAGTATGGGGATATTTTATTACAAGATCTAGTCTTAAACTTTATTAAATAGATTTCTGAACAGAAACTTTCAAAGAGTCCAATAATGTATTCATGAAATAGAGCCAGAAGAAATCATAGAAACCATCTAGATTAAACAATCGTGCCTGAGACCTGGCAGTCCTGGTTGTTTACAGAAGCAGAACAAAGACTATTTGTATCTGTATTATATCTACCGTCGACAGGCAGAGTGGACAGTGAGAGAGAGAGACAGAGAGAGAAAGGTCTTCCTTTGCCGTTGGTTCACCCTCCAATGGCCGCCGCTGCAGCCGGCGCACCGCGCTGATCCGATGGCAGGAGCCAGGATCCAGGTGCTTTTTCCTGGTCTCCCATGGGGTGCAGGGCCCAAGCACCTGGGGCATCCTCCACTGCACTCCCTGGCCATAGCAGAGAGCTGGCCTGGAAGAGGGGCAACCGGGACAGAATCCGGCGCCCCGACCGGGACTAGAACCCGGTGTGCCGGCGCCGCAAGGTGGAGGATTAGCCTATTGAGCCACGGCGCCGGCTCGACTATTTGTATCTTAATCTGTGGATTTGTCCACACCATCCTTATTTATGAAATTATCACCTTACATTTCTAAGGTTTTCTTAATTAAATTTATATTCCTTTCTGGGAGACAATGTCTTTCTTTTGCTGTTAAGAAAAATATTACAAACTAAAATGTAATAGGAAAGTTGATGTAATTCATCTTTATATCTATATGATTGCTTTAAGAAATTTATGAACCTAAAATATTTTTGTTTCCTTTTTTTTTTTTCCTAGAAAAACAAATTCAGCTGGATGTCATGTCTTTGAATTATTATTTAAATACAATGATTGGACTTCTTGAAAGTTAAAACTGTTCATTATTTTCAAATTCTAATTTTTACCTATATCTTAATTGTTTTAAAATTCTAATTTTTACTTAGGTTACAATAATGAAATTATTTAGGTTTTTTGGTAACTATTTTTCTTTTATTTCAGGGAAAACCAACTTTTTAACTTGGAAATGGCACAGCTGTTTTAAAGATTGGACTACAAGGTAAATAGTATAAACAGATTGTATTTCTGCATAATTTTTCATCTGATTTTCAGATATGTAATTTTATGTATATATACAAGTACATTTGAGGGATCTTCAGGACATTTGTGAAAAAATAATATTAAAAGATTGTATTTCAGTGAAAAATAATTTTGCAATCAGTGCATAGTTTTTTCATAGTATGTAGTTTTCCATGAGGTTTTTGGAGACCCCTTACATGTAAATGATTTTAACAGGTAATGCATTCACAGTAGTACAAAAATATGTATAATGAAATGTTTTTCTTTTACTAATTTTTGTTCTAACACACCTCTCCTCATCCTTCCCATCCTCCATCCTTCCCTTCTTTTTTTTTTTGGTGTTTTTATTGAGTTTTGGGACAGGCAGAGTGGACAGTGAGAGAGACAGAGAGAAAGGTCTTCCTTTTGCCGTTGGTTCACCCTCCAATGGCCGCTGCGGCCGGCGCACCGTGCTGATCCGAAGGCAGGAGCCAGGTGCTTCTCCTGGTCTCCCGTGGGGTGCAGGGCCCAAGCACTTGGGCCATCCTCCACTGCACTCCCAGGCCATAGCAGAGAGCTGGCCTGGAAGAGGGGCAACCGGGACAGAATCCGGTGCCCCGACCGGGACTAGAACCTGGTGTGCCGGCGCCACAAGGTGGAGGATTAGCCTATTGAGCCGCAGCACCGGCCCCCCATTTCTTCTAATTCATATTCCTTTAACATCTTGTCTAGAGCATTGCAATAGACTGTTGGTTTCTATATTTCTAGTTCCACTGATGTGACCTAAATATCATAGTAACTTAATTTTACATTCCACATGTTACTTTTTTTTTTTTTCTTTTTAAGATTTACTTATTTGGAAGTCAGAGTTACACAGAGAGAAAAGAAGAGGTAGAGAGGGAAAGAGAGGTCTTCTGTCTGCTGGTTCACTCTCCAGTGGGCCACAACGGCTGGAGCTGCGCCAATCTGAAGCTAGGAGCCAGGAGCTTCTTCCTGGTCTCCCACATGGGTGCAGGGGCCCAAGGACTTGGGCCATCTTCTACTGCTTTCCCAGGCTATAGCAGAGAGCTGGACCAGAAGTGGAGCAGCTGGGATGCGAACTAGCGTCCATATGGAATGCTGGCACTGTAGGCAGCAGCTTTACCCGCTATGCCACAGCGCCATTCCCCAACATGTTACATCTTAGAGAGCTGTCCTAACATAGGGAGAACTTTTTCTCCCTAGCAACCCTCATATAATTCTGGTAAGCTAGGAAGAGTTGCCTCGGGACACTTGGAGACCAAAGCAGATGTCATCTGAGGCCTGTAATTGGTTTTGAGAATGGAGTAGAAAAGCGAGTGGGAAACAAACTGAACTACAACATTCTGTAACTATTGAAAAACCCCTGTCTGCTTGATACTGTTCTAGGTACTAGGGCTGTAACAGTGACTCAAACTTAGTCCTTGCTTTTATATTGTTTTTATAGTATGATGAAGAAACAGATTAAATGATTACATAGGGCAATATTAGGTATAGATATAGTTGTGAGGAAGTAAGCTAAGGAAGTAGAGCATTAGAAAAGGTATTATAAATTTAATATAACCACGTTTATTAATTAACAGGAATTTGCAGAGACTTGAATTACATTAGGCAATGTAATATTTATGGTTTTTTTATATTTTTGTGGTTCCACTGGCCCATGCTTTGCACATACATTGCAGAAGCTTCTACTATTAAATGACTTATAAAGATTGAGCCGAGCTATAAATTAAATAGGAGACGAATGTTTGACTCAGGTGTGAGGTTTTGTCAGGAAAAGAAGCCACCCATTCAGCACATGAATAACAATATAGCATGAAGGAATCATCCATAATTTCTGTCAAGTTACGTTTCTTGGAGGCACTCAGTTTTTTTAAACATGCGATTTTAGTAACTATCCTAAAATACTCTGCTAATTCTGTTATTTCTGGATTGCTTAATATTACTAACCCCCTCCCCCCGCCTTATGTGTTTATTCTTTATTTTTAAGTGCCCTGCAGTTTTTCATTGGATGCTGGATATTTAGAATTTTATGTTGTCAAATGGTGGATTTGTTATCCTTTAGTATTGTTTGTATTTGGGGGTACATTTTTCTTTGTTAGGGTAGTTCCAAAACAGCCTCTACTGTGGAATATATTTGGCCCCATTATTCTTCTGAGTTCTGCTCCATGCCCTGAGTAGAAGGAAGCCTGCCTGCCTTCTTTTTATTAAAAATATTTATTTGTTTGAAAGGCAAATTAGATTAGGAGAGAGAGAGAAAAATCTTCCATCCACTGGTTCACTTCCCAAAGGGCCATAAAGGCTGGAGCTGGGCTGACCCAAAGCCAGGAGTTTCTTCTAGGTCTCCCACATGTATTCAGGGGAACAAGCACATGAGCCATCATCCACTGCTTTCCCAGGCACAATAGCAGATAGCTGATTGGAAGTGGAGCAGCCGGGACTCAAACCAATGCCCTTATGGGATGCCGGCGCCACAGGCGGTGGCTTTACCAGCTGTATCACAGCCCCAGCCTCAGAAGGAAGTCTTTCTACTCTGGTTAGTTCTACCAGACCCATTCCAAGCTCTGAAAATCAGGATTGTTTTGTCTGTCTTTCAAGTGGCTTTTTTCTTTTCCAGGACATTTTCTGCCTGTACTCTGGAAGTGAGTACTCAGCCAAAGACCAGAAGGCATGATGCTAAAGATATTCAGAGTTCTTACTAAGCTACTCTTACCCTCTCAGAACTTTGCCCTGAAAGTTTTAGCCACTGTGGTTTCCTCAGATCTGAATGCTTGTTATCTCAGTGAGACTACTGGTCTTTGGTTTCTATTTCTGTTTTCTACCAGCAAACTTTCCAGGAAGTAAGCCAGAATTATTAATACAGAGTTCAATTGTCTGTACTTTTTGTCTAATTTTTAAAAACTGCTATTTCATTTTTTTTATTTAATTGTCTGAAGGCTGGAAAATAAATGTAGTCACTGTTACACTTCCATGGTCAAAAGCAGAAGTCCAGCAGATGACTTAAGATATTAAAGAAGTGAGTTAGGATTTGCTTTTCTTTTTTTTTTTTTTTTTTGACAGGCAGAGTGGACAGTGAGAGAGACAAAGAGAAAGGTCTTCCTTTTGCCATTGGTTCACCCTCCAATGGCCGCCGCGGCTGGCGCACTGCAGCCGGCGCACCGCGCTGATCCCATGGCAGAAGCCAGGTGCTTCTCCTGGTCTCCCATGGGGTGCAGGGCCCAAGCACTTGGGCCATCCTCCACTGCACTCCCGGGCCACAGCAGAGAGCTGGCCTGGAAGAGGGGTAACCGGGACAGAATCCGGCGCCCCGACCGGGACTAGAACCCCGTGTGCTGGCGCCGCAAGGTGGAGGACTAGCCTTGTGAGCCACGGCGCCAGCTCTTCTTTTCTTAACTATATGAAAGGCAGAGAGATAGAGACAGAAAGATTTCTCATCTGTGGATCCTTGCGGTGAATGCCTGTAATGGCCCTGGGCTGAGACAGGCTGAAGCCAGAAACCAGAAACTTGGTTAGTGTCTCCCATGTGGGTGGCAGGGACTCAAGTCCTTGAGCACAACATGCTATCTCCCCAAATTCATACTAGCAGGAAGCTGGAATTGGGAACAGAACTGCGACTGAAACAGAGTTCTCCGATATGGAATATGGTATCCCAAATGGCATCCTAACAGTTGTGCTAAGTACCCACCTTATGTGTTAGTTTTTGTTTAGTAGCAATGACGTTTTTACATTTGAGGAACAAAGGTGTTTTAATTTGTGTACATACTTTGGAGAGTTGGATTAAAGAGCTAAGGATAAGGAGAAATAGGCAGCTATGTGGTAATTGTTTCATTGCCAGATGCCATTAGACCTGATAGAGTGGATTTGAGAATCCTGTCATGAGGACTGCCAATTTTGAGAATTTTTCATATGCTTCATGCATAGATGCATGAAAATCTAAGGGAGTTTCTTGGAGTTGAATATTTGAAAGCTGGTTCTAATGAGATCTTTCACATGATTTAATTGAGTCTTGGTATCTGGCCCTGCCATTGAGGTTATGGGAGGTGGCCTTTGGAGTAGAAGGATTATGGAGACTCCATTCCAAAGCATAAAAGATCTAAATGAAACTCCATACAACTTTGCTAAATACCTTCCCTTCCCATCCCCCAAAGATATAATGATTTGACCAAGATGTGCCATTATTTAGGATGGATTATCCTTCCTTCTCTTTTTGCAAATACTCAGAGAATATCTTTAATGAGCCCATCACTATACTGGGCTTCTTTTAGATATTTCCTTAATCATTAAATATTATAAAATACTAGCTGTTTCTTTAACTAGATACAAGTGTTCACTGCAGTTTGGTTAATCTAGACAGCAGTTTGAAAAGTAAAACCTTCAGTCCTTCTAGGTACAATATATCCTTGGCTAATAAAGTAGGATTGTGTTTGAGATAAAAGAAAAGTCATTTTGCACTTTCAGCATTGATATTTTCAGTTTTAAAATGTAGATTATAATAAAATCCTGGTTTATTATAACATGTAGTGTTGATGGAAATGTCATTGTGGGTGTGCTTATAGTCAGTTGATTATGACCTTGTGATTTTATTATTGCTAAAAGAATTTTAGATTACTTTTTCATTTCTTTTTGAGTTGTCAGAAATGAATTCTGAGTAATTTAGTTCTGTAAGTGGGCATGTTTCTTAGCCATCAGTTTCCTCATCTTTAAAATGAGGATAAAAATATCTGTTTGACAAAGTTATAAAAAACAGGAAAGACTGAGCAAGTATATCTCAGCTTATTAGTGTTTTGTAAACATCAGTCATTGTCTTTTGTGGCCTTTCCCCTCAGCCCAAGTTTGTACATTTTTGGGGGAAAGTCTATCTTTGCTTAAAAGGTTAAATTGAATAACTACAATGTTAGAATTATTTAAAAAAATATATTAATACATATTACATATTTATATCTTGCATTTGCCATTGGGCTATTAATTCACATGAATGTCGCC